GTCCCTGTGCTTTGCTAAGCTTGTTCTAAGTAGGTGCTTTAGACCACTGAGCCATCTCACCAGCCCGTTTTTCTCTTAACATGACCTGAAATTTTTTATTTGCTGTTTAAGAAATAGCAATTTGGCAAGGTCCAGGAGTGCCCAGGTGTAATGCCAGCACTGAGGAAGCTGTGGCAGGAGGATCACTGAGTTCAATCCCAACTTGGGTTACATAGCTCAAGGCCAGCCTGAACTACATAGTAAGACCCTGTCTCAGAAACCAACAAAACCACAAACAAACAGCAGTTTGATCTAAAATTAGGGGGAAACTTATTTGTACATTATACTTGGGAGTAATATCAAAAAATGTTAAAGGTTTTACTCTTACATTTAAAATATTGCGTAATTAAAAAGTAGAGAGAATAGTATGAGTAACTCCATTTCCCACCCAGGAGGCACATTTTCTCAGGCAGTCTCATATTATTTTATTCAGGCTTGTTCTAGGATTTTTGATTTTTGCTAGTGCCTTTCACCTGCTTTCATGTTAAAGTCACCTGGATTGTTGAGATGCAGCCTTCGTGATGTGCATGTCCAACGGGTCTCAGGTGATGCTGAACCAAGCCTGTTTCTCATTAGATTTGTATGTGGGAGTTCAGCTTGAATGTCCCACAGGCATGTCAAGGAATCAATGTGTTATTAACTTTTTCATATGCTGCCTTTTTCCTTCATCCTTTAAAAACATTCTGAGTGTGGTCATGCCCTTCCCAGAATATAATTCTTTTCCACATCTGATATAGAGCAAACATTCAGATCATTTATAACACAGTGATAACAGGGCCCAAACAAAAGCACAAAGACACAAAAACAGAACTCAGAAGTAGCTAGATTCAGATCCAGCCCTAGCCTAGGCCCAGAAAGAGAACCCAGGAAGATAACCCAGTAACATCAGCTAAAGTGTGACAACCTTGCTCAGATCAGAGATATTCCTTATATTCTCATTATTCATATTAAAAAGAAATTGATAGTATTTTTACACTGTCAAAAAAAAAAAAAGTAGCTAGATTTTAATACACCATCCTACTTTCTTAGGTACGGGGGATTGAACCCAGGGCCTTCATTCACACAGAGCTCCAACCCTCCCATTAAAAAGTATTTTACAAGACCACAATGTTAAGTGAAATAAATTAGGTAAATAGAAATACTGAGCAAAATAAAAGATCAGGAAGCTGGGTGTGGTGGCACATATCTGTAACCACAGCACTTGGAGGTTGAGGTGCCGGTGGTGGAGTTCAAGGGCGGCCTGGACTGGTGTACTTCAGCAAGACTCTGTGCCTGTTGGTCTTTCTAGATATATATTTTTTTTTTTAATTTTTTTGATATATTTGTCTTTTACAAAAAGGTGGGTGGGGGAAGAAGGGGACGACAAAAGAATTGGGATGTGTTAGGTACATAGACCAACTCCCCACAAGGAATGTAGTATTAGTGCAAACTGGTACTCATACAAAAGAAAAAATTGAAAAAATATTTTGAGACAAGCTTTCATTAAGTTGCAAAGCCTGGGCCCTAGAGAATTGGAATTCTCCTGACTTAGCTGCCAGAGGACCAGGATTGTGTGCCACCATACTTTTCTCCTCAGTACTGGAGGTTGAACTGCGGTACCCCACCCCTACTTCATATGTCCTTTTTAAAAAAAAAAAAAAAAA